CGGTGTCAAATTGCAATTTGTGAGTCTGCATCTATCTCTAGATATAGTGAAATTCTATTATGGCATTATAGACTAGGCCATCCCAATTTCCAATATTTAAGACGTGAAATCCCTTCAATACATTTGAATAATAATTCAGTTGATTTTCAATGGGAAAGCTATGAATTTGCGAAATATGTTCGTACCTCTTACCCATACTCGATATACAAACCATCTAAACCTTTCATCATGATTCACAATGACTTATGGGAACCTTCTCGAACTCCTGATCGTACACACATGAGATGATTTGTCACATTTATAGATGATTACACTCGAGTCTGTTGGGTCTACCTACTAAAAGAAAAATCTGAGGTTCGCTCCGAATGGAGAGAAGCAGTAATGGAAGAAATGCGAGCTTTAGAAAAAAAATGAAACTTGGGATATGGTGAAATTACCAAAAGGCAAGAGACCAGTAGGCTACAAATGGGTGTTTAATGTGAAATACAAAGCTAATGGGATGATAGAATGATATAAAGCTTGTTTGGTGGCCAAAGGGTATACATAGACCTATGGTATTGACTACATGGAAACATTTGCACCAGTGGCAAAACTGAACACTATTCAAGTTCTCCTATCCCTAGCTGCCAATTTGGATTGGCCACTCTAACAAATGGATATTAAGAATGCATTTCTGAATGGAGAATTAGAAGAAGTCTTTATGACAGCACCACCAGAATTCGATGAAAGGTATGGAAAAGATTGGGTATGCAAATTCAAGAAATCTTTATACAGTCTTAAGCAGTCACCAAGAGTCTGGTTTGATAGATTTGCAAAGGTGTTGAGGAATGAAGGATATTAGCAGTGTCAGCCAAATCATACCATGTTTTTTCAACAATTGGTAGAAGGAAGAATAACAATTCTAATTGTATATGTAGATATAATCTTCACTGAAGGCAATGTAACTGAGATGGGCAGACTAAAGACAAAGCTGGCCTCTGAATTTGAAGTAAAAGATCTAGGACCGATGAGATATTTCTTGAGTATGGAGGTAGCAAGATAAAAAACGGGCATTAATGTTTCACAAGGAAAATAAATTTTCGACCTTTTAACCGAAATAGGCATTTTTGGATGCAAACCAAGCGACATCCCTATAGATGGAGGAAAAAGAACAGAGGACACTGGGAAACTAGTTGAAAAGGAGAGATATCAACGATTAGTTGGTAAGCTAATCTACTTATCACAAACTAGACCCGACATTGCTTTTCGGTCAGGGTTGTAAGTCAGCATATGCACTCTCCGAAGGAAACACATCTAGAAGCAGTATACAAAATTCTCAGGTATCTAAAAGGCTCCTTTGGAAAAGGATTGTTCTTCAAGAAGAATGAAAAGAGAGATGTAGAAATATTCACAGATGCTGATTGGGCTGGATCAATACAAGATAGAAGATCAACTTCGGGTTGTTGCACCTTTGTATGGGAAAATTTGGTAACTTGGAAAAGTAAAAAACAGAATGTAGTAGCAAGAAACAGTGCCGAAGTAGAATTCAGAGCTGCTGCTCAAGGAAAATGTGAAGGACTATGGTTAAAATTTTTTTAGAGGAATTAAAAATTGGAATGGAACTACCTGTGAAACTCTATTGTGATAGTAAAGCAGCCATCAGCATTTCACTCAATCTAGTCCAACATGATCGAACAAAGCATTTGGAAATCGATAGACATCTTATCAAAGAACTAAGAATTAAGAATTACAGATTCTGAATCTGTAGGAATTTGTAAATTATGGTAAGATATCAAAATCTTTCCTTAATCTTCTTTCCTTAATATATGTATATTGATATATTTTATTTGATAGGTAGTTATTATTCTCCTAAATTAGGAGATTGTTTTTTCCTTTTTCACTTCCATTATTGTACTATATAAGAATGTAAGTTGTAGGTTAATAATAGAGAAATACAGAAAACAATTCTGATTTCCGTCTGCAGAATCATTTTTAGCATATATGACGTTGGGAATGTGTATGCATGCATTATCTGGACATTGTGATACACTTTAATCTTGGGAAATTTTAGCCTTGCACAATGTTTATGTTATAAATTTGTACAGGTAGTCTATGATGCTCCAACTCGGGTATGAGTATCGGGTACGGGAATGTATCTAAATGTCGGATCTTTTATATTTTAAAATGTAGGATATGAGGATATGGCTAAAAAGAGTCTAAATTTTGAACACGGGTACGTGAATATGTTTTTCAAACTTCAATTTTTTTATTAACTCGAGATGTTATTTTGAATAGACCAAAATCAACTGTTCACAAAGAAGGAAATAGTATTGAATAAGGTGTTAAGACGAATAAAATAGAATTTTGAGGTTTATTTTTCAATTATGAGAAGTTAATTATTAAGTGTTATATAAAATAAAAAATGAGGGACTTAATTGTAATTTGGATTTAGTGGAGCACTAAATAGTATTATATGGAACATTTTTTTAGTTTATACAAACAAAACCCTAAACCACCGATAGAGAGAGGGAAAGAAGGAAAAAAGAGAAAAGGGAAAGAAAAAGAAAGAAGAAGGGAAAATCTAGTGTCGTCGCCTTTTTCCACCCTCAGATGGTAGTGCTAGGTTTTAGAGAGTAGAAACAGAAGGAAAAAGAAAAGAAAAAAGAAAGAAGAAGTAAAAAACAATGAAATGTCCGGTTAACACTTGGAGGATTCGACACATATCCCATACCCATACACATGTCGTGTCGTGCTCGACACGGGTACTCCAACCATTTCGAAGAGTCCGAGCATCAAAGTAGGTAGCTAGTGTCCCTTCATCTAATTTTTATAATTCATTCTGCAACTAGGCAAGCTAGGATCTAGTTCTTGATGCTATCCTAATTTCATAACTGTTTGTTTTGATTATGGAACAGTTATGGAATAGTTCAAAAACTTATGGGGAGCTCGACAGGAGTGTTCATTCTTGATCTATATTTTTTCTGTACATTTTGTTTGCATTTTTCTGAAGGAGTGCTTTCTTAGTTTCTATTTTCTAAAGATCCTCAATATTTCTGACTAAGCAAGATAGCCTTGCATGTTTTCTGGGTATTTTTGGTGTGTGCTGTCAAATGTTTTTCTTCTTAATTAGTCAGCATCTTCTACTCTTTGTTTTTCTCCAAGTGGATTCGACTTAGGCATCAGTTTCCTTCCCTTCAATTAATGGTGAAGTTGGCATTTGTTTCCTATTGCAGTTAGTGTAAAGTCTCTAATGATAGTTTGCCACTTATCCCCCTGCGCCCCCCCTCCTCCAAAGCATTTATTACATAGTAATAGGGCTTCCTGCTTATCTAATTTTTCCCCTTAATAATCAAACCTTAACATGGTACTAGAGCTCGTGTAATCCTTTTCCCTGAGAATGGTGGTTAAACCATTCTTTATTGACTTCCTTGACCAATCGTTAATATCATTGAATTGTTATCGTTACGTGATGGTGTTTTGATTAAATGATATTATTTGATATGTCTATTCACAAATTGTTATGGTTAAGTACATGGTTTGGAATATGGCTTTGGAGCCCATGAGTATCCAACCAGTGGAGTGTTCGAGGTTGAACCAAGGAGTTGCCCCGGTTTTACTTTTAGGCGCTCAGTCCCTTTGGGCAGAACTAACATGTCTCGTTCAGAGTTGCAGTTGTTTATGGAGCAAATTTCCAGCAAATATCACGGGGACACATACCATTTGATTGCCAAGAATTGCAATCATTTTACTGAAGAAGTATGTTTGCTTCTAACTGGAAAGCCTATCCCTGGGTGGGTGAATCGCCTTGCCCGATTAGGTGAGGAGGAAGATTGTTTTTGCACTTCTTACATAAATAGTTGAAGCACTGGTTTGAAGTTGTAAAATTCTCATATGAAAAGCTTATCCATGGGAAAAGTAATATTTGGACTTTATCGGGCATGAACTTGTAGTATTTGCCAATCTTCTAAGATTAAAGACATTAGGGGTCCTCTTATGTGTCATTTGGTGCAAATCAGTAGAATTTAAAAAGTATGAATTCTTATTCTAGACATGTAGAAGTATGTTTATTGGTACCTATAGACATGCATGCACGCCATGAAATGATTATTATCTACATGGGTGGAATAGCTGTAACCTATAATATTACCAGCTTTATTTTCTATCTTACATAATTCAAAATTGAAATTTCAGGCTCTTTCTGCAACTGTATACTGCCTGAGAACATTCATGCAACGACAGTCAGACATGTACCTGATCATCTTACATATCCAGGCAAGTTTCATCTTCTTAGTTTATTTCTTTCATTCTCTATTCTCTCTCTCTCTCTCCCTTTTTTTTTTTTTTTTTTTTGAATTATCCAAATTATCAGTTACTATCAATATAAGAATGAAAGGATTTAAAATACTATCAAATGTCTATTCCAGTTGTGAATTGGAAGACAATGTAATGGTGAAATACATAATTTACTACTTTACACTTCTAATAAGATTGCCTGTCATGAGTATCAAATTGATAAGTAACACCCGTGGATTTAATTAAACAAATAAACAGGACAGAAATTAAATTTCTGTATTGATTGAATTCTGAATTACAGCAAGAAAACAAATGCAATCAGCCATTCGAGAGGGCTCTAACTCTTCACAATATGACTTCACTTACTATTTTTCATACCTATTTTCCTCCAACTCTTCTCTGTTTATATATACTTGTACTGATTTGCTATCCCCTTTCTACCCCTCTAACAGAGTTTGTTGCCGCCCCAGTCTTCATCGATCTTCTTGATCCTTCTAGAATATTTTTATTTATTTGGGTCCATTAAGTACCCGTCACCTCAAAATCTCATTGTCCTCAAGGTGAAAGTTTGGTTCAACTTCGAAATTCAGGATTCTATATAACTGAACCATTTCTTTGGTGCAAATGTTAGAATTGGGATATTTTAATCCATAAGCAGTTAAAAAGTTCCGGCGTCGACCACCTATGTTATCCATACAAATCCCATAACTGACCACACCCCTTTGCCGGCTTTCCAATAAAATGAACACAGCCATCGAAATACAATGGTGGATAGTACCACAATTGATCTGCAACGCGATCTCCTCTTCTTGTGCAATATGCCCTTTTATGGACTTTTGCGTCCTTAATCCGAACACCAAATCAATTAAAAATCCAAATTTATCACCAACCTCTTCATCAGAACCTAGTACTTCCAGCTCGCACTTGCCTGCTGTGACTTTGCTGTCCTGCTCCTCCTCCTCCTCCTCCTCCTGTTCTCTAATAACCGGAATTTTGCAACTCTTTATTCCTACACCGATGCCAAGTTGTGAATTTCTCATGGCAGTAATAGCATAGCCCCTTTTCTCCCTTAGTTTTGATCTCTGAGTCCGTTAGTCGCTTGTAGGGGATGGTTGATTTGGGAAAAGGGTTTGGTCCATTTGTACGAGTTGGGATAAGGCTTATAGGAACTGTTGGTTTGTTGAATTGGCTAGGGAATCGAGGTGGGTTTGGGTTGGAATATGTTATTCCTTTGGGTTTAATTGGGCCAGAATTCCATTGGCTCACTTTGGTTATAAGATTTCTATCCTCTATCATTTCGGCCACATCAATGATTTGCTCCAAGACTAAAGGTCTAAGTTGGTGGAATTCGGCCCTTATCTCAGGTTTTACCCCATTTAAGAAACTATATCCCTAAAACTCCTCCAATACTCCATTCAATGGTGAAACTAGATTTTCGAACTGTTGGTGGTAATCTCTTACTATGATGATTTGCAAGATTACCAGAAATTGGGTGCTCAGAGACCTATCCTGTGAAGGGCGAAACCTTTGCAGCAATCAAACCTCTACTTCTTCCCACTTCTTCATCAGCTTCTGTCTCCCTTCCCACTTGAACCATGCAAGCGTCTTGCCATTGCAGCCCATGGCGAAGGATTCGAATTTTTCCTCCTCCGGCATCCGATTGATGCCGAAATATCTTTACACACGATAACCCACCCATCAGGGTCAGATCTATCGAAGAATTGGCATATCCAGCCAACTTATACGAGAATCCCTTCTCCAATCCTATACTGAACTGCCTCCTTTATACCAGCTGTCATTTGGTCTGAATTGGGTAGCTCAGCTTCATCAGAGGTTGCTGGTGTTTTCTCTGTTGCCACCCCTTTTTCCTTACAGTTCATCTCCTAGTTTTAGCAATGATGCAGTAGTGTTTCCAAGTTCTTCATCATGCCGGAGTGTATTAGTTGGAACTCTGCTCGCAATGATTCCAGGTCGGTTTGAAGCTCTTGGTGGTTGCTATCTACTTTCTTCTCTAAATAATTCACCCTATCAGTCATGGTGAGGTGTTGTGTGTTGATTTGGATGCTTTAATGGCACTTTGATAAATATCACCTGTGGATTTAATGAAACGAATGAACAGGACAGAAATTAGATTTCTGCATTGATTGAATTTTGAATTACAGCAAGAAAAGAAATGCAATCAGCCATTCGAGAGGGCTTTAACTCTCCACAATATGACTTCACTCACTATTTTGCTTACCTATTCTCCTTCAACTCTTTCCTATCCTACAAGCTACTTGTAAATTGTAATTGATTTTCCCTCCCCATTCTACCCCTCTAACAGAGTTTGTCGCAGCCCTAGTCTTCACCAATTTTCTTGATCCTTCTAGAATATGTTTATTTAATTGGGGCCTATCACAAACACCCTCCAATTTCTAGCTCAAAAGTTGGCCACAGACAGTTGTATCTAGAAATTCCATCTATAATTTCATAGTCTCTGATAACTCCATAAATAATTTGTTTAAATTGAAATCCTACTCTTCTAAGTCATGTTTATGAAAGCTGTGATTATATATTGCTTACTCATTTCTTATACTTGTCATAATGTTTATGAATACAGAAGATGGATCAGATTCTGGCTCATCTTTATCGGCGGAGTGTGAAGAGGAGGATGTAGATCATCATCTGCTGACCACACCAAATAGTGACGTCTCCTTTTTGAAAGGAAAACCAGTCAGGCTAGCAAAAGATATGCTTTGACTTTTATTTGTATTCTCGATCAAATTCATTTATTGTTGTATTGAGCTCGTGTTGTCTGTCTGTACTAGTAGCATGTAAATCTTCTTTCTATACATTAAAAACACGTGTTTCAGCATTTCTAGGCTTGGCGATCATATAAGCCTCGGGATTCATGCTCTCAAAATATACTTAAGAGGACCTGAGGTTGGATTTTGCACATGTAACACTGATTTTTGGTCTATATGTTGTGCTGTTTGGATGTCAAAATGTGTGAATGTCTTGAAAACGCCACAAGTTCGATGAGAATTTCATATTTCAAGGAAACATTTTCTACGATGGGACTAAATTTTAGCCGACATATTTTGATAGGCTTAAATATTTGATATGCCAACTCATGAGATTATAATGCGATTAATACTTCGGTATCTTGAAAATAAGTTTTCGTGTGTGTAATATAAACATAAAACATAAGTAGATAGAGTTAGAAATGCAAACATTATGAAGTCATGTCAAGGATGTTCTAAAGTTATGTTACATTCCTTTCGTGCAAGTACCTTTGGCACTACATGGTTTCAGGATAAAATTCGTATGACTCAAAGTAAGTTCCCTTCTGTAGGCACAATGATAGTGTGTTATAGAATGAGACTTTGTCGAGTTGCCAAAATGTATTGAAATATAGTATGAAATATAGAAAGAGAATTTTTCCAAATTATGTATTTTCCAAGTTGCATCTATAACTATGAAAACAACTTCTTGTTATAGGGACAAATTTAACCTCTACATTCATGAAAGTAAATCATATTTAATTATAAGTTACAATCTAAATTAAAAGTTAATAATAAAGATCAAAAGTGAAAATTAATATTTCTTGTGAAAGTTTAAAACTTTTAAAAAATATTATAATAATTTCTCAAAAGTTTTAAACTTTCAAATATTTAACTATATATGGTAACATAATATTGTGAAATAAGTGTAGGTGTCTTTTGGATTTGAATTCTATCCAGTGATATCATTTTTCATTCGATGAAACCATAACGAACTAAATCTTGAATTGGGTTCCTTTCGTCAAATTTCAATTGTTCCATATACAATTTCGATTTAGACTCAGTTCATAGTTGGTAACGTTGTTAATGGCTATTCGCTCTGATCTTAATTCTAATAAAAGTCTCTAGAGAAATGGTCCAATTCCACAGCCATGGCCTCATGGCAATGCTTATATAGGTAAGTCCTTCAAGGATGTATGTGACCCACACTTCGTGAGAATTCTCGTCTCGATAATCATTTCGAGTTAAATCTTACTAACATGACATTATTATTAGCACTATCACCATAAGGATGAGCGCACAAAAATAAAATAAAATAAAATAAAAATGGTACTGTTACGTGTTATCATACTTGGCCAACCTACTTGGGCCTATGGCCCACTCAATCCGAGCCACGTGGCACTCTAGCCGAGGTGGCATGTATGGCCGATGCCCTTCATGCCGAGGCTCATATACTGAGGTCTTGAAAGTAGCCAAACTCCATATACCGAGGCCTGTGAAGATTTCTGAAGCCCTGAATCGGAAGTACTACATGAGCGATAGAAGCCTCCGAACCATGAAGGAACGTCTTCCATGATCACCTCTCCCAAGAGATCTTCTATATAAAGATCTTGTTTGATTGATTGATGAAACGTTTATCATGAGTGCATATGTCAAGTCTTATCACTAGCATGTGGGTTCTGCACAAGCAATAAATGCGCAGCAAGCTAGCAAGTCAAGGATGATGCCTAAAATTTGATGTTTGAATTAAGGAGATGAGGCCACGTGCCCCCTCATCTAAGGGTTGCCATTTCACATGTAACACTATAAATACTTCCCTTTTATAACATTGAAGGGCTAATGCAAGAATCAATACAAGAAACTACATTTTTACTCTCTCTTTCATATTATCTTACAACACAATACGAGTTCATATATATTTACATGCACATTAATGAGCACCGATTGGTAATTATTGTACAATCGGATTAAGAATATACCGTCGAATTTCGAATGTTCTCGTCCCACGTCGTTGCGCTACTCCCACGCCCCTGATCCGTTTGTTCTAGACCGTCCACGTGTCTTAGCATGTAGGACCTTCGCTCACGTGTGCGCGAGTGGGTCCGACATCTGTTGGCAACACTTTTTGGGGTCAACAGGTACTATTACAAGTCATTTAATGAGAGTTGTTTCTACCACATTGAAAATTCTTTATGGGAACTCCAATTACAACGATTGGGTTGCTTCCGGAGGTGACTCCCTTAGAGTTTAAATTCATCCCCCTCAATGACTTATTTATATCCATTTTAGACTATATTCATTCACGTCTCTCTTGGACAATAAATTGTTCAATCAATTTGCAAAGATAAATTTGCAAATATCTTATTTTCCTCCTGCATATCTGGACGTTTGCAAAGTAACCTAAGAACTTTTCCAAAATATTAATATCACATATTTAATTATAATAAGATAACTTTATGAAATTTTTTATATTGGCATCTAATAACATGTTTGGGCGGATACATCCATTGAGCTCTTGCATTTCGTATTCCAAAAAGGAAAAGAACATTGGTGTCATGAATCTATGAAGTGATTTTCCCTTCTTTAAAAGTTAAGCTAGACACTGAAATGGAGCAGCTCTCAACACAGTATTGCATGCCATACCCAACTACCTCCTCTTGACCAATGTAGGAGACTCCAAGAATCTCTTATCGATACAACAAACAGTAGTTCCTCCATGCATTATGAAGTTAACTTTTTGTGTATACAACTAGTTACGCACTACAATTATTCCTTACCCTTAATAGATTTTGAATTTAATTCATTGCCATACATACTTACAGCAGGCAATTTGTTATATGAAACTTGCAATTTCATCAAATTTAAATTGCACACTTGGGGTACGTACACTGGCTAAGAAGATAGAAATCAAGAGTTCCTTTTTACTTTATAACTTGATCACAGTTACGTTGAGTTGTGACAACTCATCATAAATTGTAGTAAGTCAACCTCTATGAGATGGATGATTTCTCCTGGTTGCTGGAATGAGATTTTGGTTTGACATACAATGTGATACATGGGGTAGTCAGAGCTTTAGTGACTATGGATGAGTTAACAAATTTGAACAGCGGAATAATACTTGGCCATAGTGGAATTTTTACTATAAGGAAATAATCTACATAGATAAGAATGTTTCAAAGGACGACATTTGAAAGCCAAAAATATAGTTTAGATTTCTTCAATAATTCCCAAAGTTACTAGAAAAGTTAATGTAGACATTTAGCTTCGATGGGTTCTTGTAATTAAGTTTCAGGGAAAGAGGCTAAAAGATGTGTCCGATCATGCTCAAAGAGGTTTGGTTTGTGTTACAGGTTCTCTCCTTTATAATTTATTTATTATTATTATTATTATTATTATTTTAATTAGTTTTCATCAAGATTGCAGCTTCAAGCCAAATGATAAATTAATATTTTGATCTAAGACCATGAACACCATTAGAAAATCTGAAAACCTAATTTTTCTCTTCAGGCTTCAATACGGAATGATTAATTAAAACTTGCTTAACCTACAGGAAATATAATTTATAGAGGAGCAACTCAGCCTAATTTTACAAGTAATAACCAGTGTCCAAAATGTCAATTTAGCTATGTACATGTAATCACTAATGTATTTCAGAAATGATTATGAATAGAAAAACAAGCAAATTACCACCCATTTAATAGATGTATCACAAGCAACAAAAATTGTCTATATACAAATCACCAACAAGACTTTAGATTGTTGAGAAAAGGGTGATTTGTGTATAGATTATTAATTAAAATAACAAGTATGAACAATATAATTCAACAATAATATAAATATAAAACATAAGTAGATAGAGTTAGAAATGCAAGTTTTAGGGAATCATGTAAACGACGCTATTCTAAAGACGTGTTCCTCCGTTTCGTGTGGATACTTTTGACACTATATGGCTCCAAGATAAAATCCATGTAGTTCATAGCCGATTCTCTTTGTCATGGGTACAATCATATGAAGATAAAGATTGAGACTTTATCGAGTTGCCAAAATATTATAGAAAGATAGTGTGAAATATAGAAAAAGTATTTTTCCAAATTATGTTATTTTCAAGCTGCATATAAAACAATGAAAACAACTCCCTTTTATAGGGACAAATTTAACCCTGACATTCATGAAAATAAATCATATTTAAGTATAAGTTACCATCTAAATTTTGAGATTTAAATATCAAAATTGAAAATTAATATTTGTTGTTGAAGTTTAAAACTTTTAAAAAATGTTACAACATTTACAAGAAGGGAACATCTCATTAAATATTTTTTAAATACTTGGGTGAACCTAAACTCTAACAATTATTTGAGTGCTGTATTACAATATTATTGTGACCCAACGATAGTAGTTAAATGTTTAAATGTTAATTGAGAACAGCATTCGATGCATCGAGGTTTGCGCCTAAAAACATACAGGACTTGCACATAGTCTCACAAAACTAGAATGACAGCTTTAAAGAACAGAAATGTAGAAGATCATAGACAAAGCAGCATATGGCCATGAGAAACTCTTTTTCCAACTTTATAACTTAATAACAAAGCATACATGATCTATATGAATGGCCATCACAAATTTCCAATTGTTGCCTCAACACTTGGTCAAATATACAGAAAATCGTATTAGTTGACATCCCAACCGCAAAAGGGTAGTTACACACAGTTTTTAGCCCACCATTAAGCCAAGCTGCTCATTATCCAAGCACTTAGCAAAACAAACTTCAACACGTGTGTTGACACATAAAAATTCAGCCCAAATCGAACGGCCCAAGGAATGAAGCCCAATTGGAGGATCCCCAAATCAGATAGCCCAAAGAACGAAACCCAATCAAACAATTCAAGATGAAGGCCCAAATAGGGAGGCTCAAGAACGCGATAACGCCGTTGACCAAGTTTGCAAGTCGCCCAGAATCTGAGCGAATGGAGTGCCATGCAGTCGCCCAGAGCTGTTACTTTATTCTCGCCCAAACCTTCAAGTCGCCCAAAGTCTTAACAAACATAAAGCGTTGTGGTTATCAAGAAATGCAGTTATCAAAGCAGTTATTAAAGCAGTTATTAAAGCAGCCCTATCACGTTCCACGATTCAAGGAATTCAATCGAAAACGGTTGAACGACGAAGAGTAGTGGCAGTAGTTAAAAAAGGCAGTTTTCATGACAAGTTGGCCATTATGAGGAAAGT